CTTTGGCGCTTTGGCGCTTTGGCGCTTGGCGCTCTTGATGCTTTGGTGCCTCTTGGCCCTTTGGCGCTTTGCGGCTCTTTGACGCTTTGGCGCTTCTTGGCGCTTTGAGACTTCGCGGCTCTGTGACGCTTTGGCACTTTGCGGCTCTTTGAGACATGCCATCTTGGAAAAAAAGTGATTTTGTAGATTTTACTTTTTTTCAAGCACCGATTGAAACATAGGTATAAAAGCTGTTTCGGAGAAAAACCAAAGGGCCAGATTGTTTGTATTTGAGGGCCAGCGCTCACCTGCAGCCAGCGAACTTACGACTACCTGTTTAGTAATTTTTGTGGGTTGTTTAATGATGGTTTACCTTAGTAGGTGATTAACAAGCGTGGTTTGTAAGTCGCCGTTTCGCGGGTCATAACATCTTTGAGTGTGTTATAACTTATAACTTTGCTTATTGAGCATGTCATCATTGATGAAAAGGGTATATTCTAACTGGTGGAGGTTTGAATTCCATCGTCATACCTATATCAGATCTTATAAACCAGGCCAGGCCCTGCGGAGTTTTGAAGCCGACCATCAATAGATTGGTTGAAGGAAAAATCTCCATCTTGACCAGAGTCTTAATCTTGTTTTTGCTGTTGCGGTTTTTGTTTTTGTAAGGCAAGGACGAGAACTTGCAGCGTATCATCCAACATGTCTGAGTTGGAGAGCCTATGGGATATTCTAGGCATAGCCCATTCTATATATGAAATCTATGGGCTTGAGTTCCAAGTAAAGAATTTAAAATCTATTGGCTGGATAGCCAATTATTTTACATATAGATTTTTGGGATAGCCTTGATCCAAACAATTTTTTTCTTGGGCTGGATAGCCCTGACAAAAAAAAGGCTGAGCAGCCTTGAAAAAATAGATTTAAACAAAACTACAAAAATATCACATGAACACCCATGAACACCCATGAACACCCATGAACACATTCACATGAACACCCCTGAATTCACATGAACACACCTGAAAATCTATGAACCTGAAATATTTTTAAAAAAACAAATAAAAAAAAAACAATTTTTTTCTTCCGAGAAAAAATCATTGTATATTTATTTTTCTGTTTTTTTGCCAATATATACTTTGGGCTGGACAGCCCCTTGAGCCAAAACAATAAGTACCATTTGCAATAACTATTTTGGACTAGGTATTTGAGCCAGAACAAACACCAACACTTATTTTTTTGGCTGGATAGCCATCAATTTCTTGGGCTGGATAGCCCATTGAGCCACAAAAAAAAAACACAACACATGTGATTTGATTTGGCCTCAACTTGAGCAATCTGCTTCAAAATCCAGAAAGCTTTTGGCCCCAAGAGAAAACAAAGACCACAGCCATAGCAATGAAGAGGCCAGCAGCAGCAGCAGGCCTCAAGAGGCCAGCTGCCAAGGCAGAGGAAGAGGATACACCTGAGGGTGCTCACCAGCCACTCACAGCTCAAGCAGTCAAGGACCACAACAAGTTTTGTGAGGAGGCAGCCCAAATGTCCAGTTCTCAGTTTGAGAAGGCATTGAGCTGCTTAGATGAGAAGGCTGCAATGAGGTTGTGGAAGGCTTTTGAAAAGCCCAGGAAAAGCTCTGGGGCCCAGGAGGAGTACAAAGCCACCACCAGTGAGTCAGTGGGAAGCCTTGCCAAGAAGCGAAAACTTCTGTTTGGCTGGGTGTGTGATGGGCAGACCACAGGTGAACACTACAAGGCAATGGTGGACAAGGTCTCTTTGAAGAAAAGTGAAGGAGTCACCAGCACCTGGCTCACAAAGGCCCAGGCACTGGCACACTGGGGGAAAGAAGAGTTGCAGGAGAGGGTGGCTTCTGGAAGTATAGTTGCCAGGAAGGATCCAGCAGATCCCAATTACTGGCAGTTCAGGGCCAACACTGAGCAGTCTCAGGTGAATGTGACCAGGGAACAAGCTTTCACTTTTGAGAAGAAGAACAAGAGCAACCTGAAGGAGCTGGAGCAGGTAATGAGGAGCAAGGGCTTAGAGAAGCTCACAGAAGCAGACTTCTGTGCCCCAAGTGAAGAGAGTGGTGAAGACAGTGATGGGCTGCCAGCTGGCCTCTCTAAGGCTTTGGGCACCAAGTCTGACAAGAGCAAGAAGGAGAAGAAGGAGAAAAAAGAGAAGAAAGAAGGCAAGAAGGACACGTGGGAGGAGATGAGCACTGTGCAGGAGGAAGATGGCCAAGCACAACTCCTCAACAGGCTGATGGCTTTCAAGGTGGAGCTCACCAAGGACTTGGCAACCTTGGATGGCTTGTGCCACTCTAAGGACATGCCCAAGGCACTCCTGAAGGATGTTGCCAAGACACAGAAGGAAGGCCAAGAGGTTTTGACCTTGGTGGGGAAGCTCCACAAAGATAAGGGCAAGAAGAAGGAGGTGGTCCCAGCCTTGCAGAAGGCCTTTGCTGTGCTGAAAAAGCTGAAAGCTAAGAAGCTGCTCGTGTCAAAAGCCTTGAAGGCTTAAACACTTTTTGAAGCAGAGCAGGGGTGCCCACCAAGTGTTGAACTGAACACACAAAATGTCTGTAGTTGAGATCATAAGTGGCACCCCTGGCCAAAGTTTTGCGATGGCAGACTGGCAAACTCAACCTCAAGCTGCTCTTGAAAGCAAACAGGTCAGCTGGGAAGCCCTTTGCCTTTGCTGGGCTGGACAGCCCTTGTTACCATTGTTGGGCTGGATAGCCCTTGAATTGGGCTGGACAGCTCTTGTTATCATTGTTGGGCTGGAGAGCCCTTGACATGGCAATTGGGCTGGACAGCCCTTGTTAAAGCTGAATGAAGTTGCCCCTTTAGCTGCTCAAAAGTTGTGGAGAAATGGACCCATGTCCTTTGTGGGTGCTGTTGCTCAAGAAGTTCAGCATAGGAAAGCTGTCAGCCATAGAAGTGCAGGAGCTTGCTTCAGCAGCAGTTAAGAGTGGGCTGGAGAGCCAGTGTGTGGGGAAGTTGCCTGAGCTTGGGGCTTGTGGGCATTCACCTGGCAATTGCCACAGAGGCTTGGTGAGAAAGTATTTTCGCTTTCTAGAAGCTCCGGATCCCTGGGAGGTGTATGGCCCCCTGGCTGTGAAGAAGGGTGGCCATAGAGTAGAGCAGGTGACTGCCATTCACCTCCTGCTACCTCACCACTGGGTCCTTCAGGCTGAAGAGAACAACTTCTTGAAGAGTTTGTGCTGCAAGGATGAAGAATTAGTTGCTTTCTGGAAGAGCCAATCTTCATGCCCCCAGATGACAGCTGAGCTGAAGAAAGTGATTGAAACATCACAACCAAGCCAGCTTCCAGTGCCTTACCTTTTGCATGGAGATGCAGCGCCCTTCACTGAGGTGGACAGCATCCAGGTGCTCAGCTTCAGGCTTGGCTTCCTTTCCTGCTTTGGGCTGGATAGCCCTTGCCTGCATGTCCACCTTGGCTGCTATGTTTTGCCTCATTGGGCTGGATAGCCCTTGGGCTGGATAGCCCTGGGCTGGATGCCATGTGCCCTGAAGGTGCTTGCTTTCCAGCAAGGCAGTGACCCAGAGCCAGATGCTAATCGCAGCTGTGCCCAAGGCTGCCATGACCAAGGAGACCCCCAAGAAGCTGATGGAAGTTTTGGTCTTGGAAAGTGCTGTGGGATGGTGTGGTGCCCAAAAAAGATGAGGCAGGGATGCCCACAGAGAAATACAAGGGGAAGAGAATGAGGAGGGGAGTGCTATGGTCAGTGAGTGGAGATTTAGAATGGTTTGCAGCTGAGTTTGGTTTCCCTTATGCTGCAGCCAACCTTCTCTGCCCCTATTGCAATGCAGACCAATGCAAAGAAGACAGCCCCAGGCCTTTCACAGATTTCAGGCAAACCGCAGCCTGGAGAGCCAGTGTGCTGTCACCGAGCAAATTCAAGGAGAAGTTTGGAGCACACCCACTCTTCAGAGCTCCATGTGTGACCCCTTTGTCCATTAGGCTGGACATTTTGCACATCCTGGACCTCGGTGTAGCAGCATATGCACATGGATCTTTGCTTTTTAGCATCATGGAGAAGTTGCCAGGAGCTTCCAGATTTTTGCCAGCAATAGCAGCTTCATTTTTTTTCGGCTGGATAGCCCCAATATAGTGTGTGCAAGCAAACAATTTTTGGCCAGCTGAGGAGCTGTCAGGCTAACCAACCTGAACAAGAAGATAGTGGAAGCCTATGACAAGCTGGGGGTGGCAGCCCAAAAGAGGATCAAGCACCTGTCTTTGTCAGACCTGGCTGAGAGTGCAGAAGAATACCCTTGCCTCAAGCACATCAAAGGAGCTAAAATTCGCTATTTTGCCCCAGTAGCTTTGGAGCTGGCCAAGGAGTACAGCATGGACAAGGCTGGGAAGCACAGGGAAGCATTGGCAAAGCAGTTGGTCAAGGCATACCAAGTCTTAGAGTGCAGCTGGCAAGAATGGCGGTTTGAAACTTTCAAGAAGGCAGTGGATGATTTCATGGCCCACTACAGCTGGCTGGCAGCCAATGCCTTGGAGGAAGGCTTGCACCTTTGGAGTTTAGTGCAGAAATCCCATGTTTTGCTCCATTTAGCAGAGCAAAGCAAATTCATGCACCCCAGCCTGAACTGGACATATGGGAGTGAATCTTTCATGGGCTGGATAGTCCAAATCGCTTCAAGCTGCACAAGTGGCACTCCAGCTGAGAAGCTTCCCTTGAAGGCCTTGCAAAAATTCATGCTTCTGTTTCACCTTTACCTGAAAGGGTACATCTCGCTGGATGATGATGATGGGAGGTGAGCAAAAAAGAATTGCTTCAGTTCTGTCTTGGTAGGCTGGACAGCCTTTGCAGTCCTGCAGGAAGGAAGGTTGATAGGCTGGACAGCCTCTTGGATTCCACACAAGTTTTGAATGGTTGAGGCTGGAAAGCTTTCTCCACAGCCCTTTCTGGTTCTGGTAGCCCTGCCCAAAAAAGAGAAGCTCCTGTGCCATGGAAGCAGTGCCCAAGAGAAGGAAAGTGAGCTGGGTGAAGGCTGAGGAGACAGCTGACCCAGAGCTTTGGGCTGCAGGCTGGAGGCTGGACCCAAATGAGGATAGCCAAGTCATGTGCCCCCACCAGAAGAAGATGAGCAAGGAGAAGATGGGCAAGGAGATGGGCAAGGAGAAGAAAGCCTACAAAGAGAAGAAGAAAGGAAAGAACCTGAAGAAAATTAGGTGTACAAAGCAGGGCTGCTGTGGACTACCAAAGCTAGCCCCAGGGGAAAAAGGTTGCTCCCACTGGCTGCCTTGCCATGGGCTGGACAGCCCCAAGTTGTGGGCTGGAAGTGGGCACACAATTTCCCATTGGGCTGGACAGCCCCATCACCACCACATGGGCTGGACAGCCCCACCATGGGCTGGACAGCCCCATCATGGGCTAAGCCTCTAAGCCTCTAATGTCTGGAGGCAGCCTGTAGCCTCTAATGTCCGGAGGCAGCCTGTAAGCCTCTAAGCCTCTAAGTCTCTAATGTCCGGAGGCAGCCCGTAAGCCTCTAATGCCGGAGGCAGAGTAAGCCTCCTAAGCCTCTAAGTCTAATGTCGGAGGCAGCCCGTAAGGCATCTAAGCCTCTAAAGACTCTAAGCCTCTAAGCCTCTAAACGCCTCTAAGCCTCTAAGCCTCTAAACGCCTCTAAGCCTCTAAACGCCTCTAAGCCTCTAAGCCTCTAAACGCCTCTAAGCCTCTAAACGCCTCTAAGCCTCTAAACGCCTCTAAGCCTCTAAGCCTCTAAACGCCTCTAAGCCTCTAAACGCCTCTAAGCCTCTAAGCCTCTAAACGCCTCTAAGCCTCTAAACGCCTCTAAGCCTCTAAGCCCCTAAACGCCTCTAAGCCTCTAAACGCCTCTAAGCCTCTAAACGCCTCTAAGCCTCTAAACGCCTCTAAGCCTCTAAACGCCTCTAAGCCTCTAAACGCCTCTAAGCCTCTAAACGCCTCTAAGCCTCTAAGCCTCTAAACGCCTCTAAGCCTCTAAGCCTCTAAACGCCTCTAAACGCCTCTAAGCCTCTAAGCCTCTAAACGCCTCTAAGCCTCTAAGCCTCTAAGCCTCTAAACGCCTCTAAGCCTCTAAACGCCTCTAAGCCTCTAAGCCTCTAAGCCTCTAAACGCCTCTAAGCCTCTAAACGCCTCTAAGCCTCTAAACGCCTCTAAGCCTCTAAACGCCCCTAAGCCTCTAAACGTCTCTAAACGCCTCTAAGCCTCTAAACGCCTCTAAGCCTCTAAACGCCTAAGCCTCTAAACGCCTCTAAGCCTCTAAGCCTCTAAACGCCTCTAAGCCTCTAAACGCCTCTAAACGCCTCTAAGTCTCTAAGCATCTAAGCCTCTAAACGCTTCTAAGCTTCCTCTAAACGCTTCTAAGCTTCTTGACACCTCTAAGGCTCTAAACGCCTCTAAGCCTCCAAACGCCTCGAAGCCACTAAACGCCTCGAAGCCTCTAAACGCCTCTAAGCCTCTAAACGCTTCTAAGCTTCTTGACACCTCTCAGCCTCTTGTTGCCTGTCAGCTTCGAAACGTCTCTAAGACATGCCATCTTGAACAAAACAAACAATTTGAAATATCTTAAACTTCTCTTTCGCGACCTTTCGCGAAGCAAATTACTTTCGCGATCTTTCGTGACCCAGCATTTCTGTTTCGCGAAAGTGATGTAGTATAACTCCCTTACATAAACAATACATTGAGGTTTTTTCGTGGCTCAAATGATGATGATGATGATGACGATGATGATGATGCTGATGCTGATGCTGATGATGATGATGATGATGATTATCTGATAGCCTTGTTGGTAGATGTTCCCTCACAGATGTGACAAGACTCTTAGCTTACTAGTACCCAATGCTGTTTTCAACATGAAATCTCTATAGAATTGTTGACACCAACGTCCACGATAAAATCGCAAACGTTGACGTTGGACAGGTACCCCTAAAAAATTCCAAGGGGGATCGTTAGAGTCTATTCTCTTCTGCTAGGCTAGCGGCCTGTCCTGTTCCGTTCGGATCCATCCTTTCCGTTACAAGAGTCTTCCGCTAAGAGTCTTCCGTTCGGGTCTATCCTCTTCCGTTGAAGCCTACCTTCTTCCGTCAGAGTCTGTCCTCTTCCGTCAGAGCCTGTCCTCTTTCGTTCAAGCCCTGTCTTGTTTCGTTCGACTCCTCACATTCGTTTGCAACCTCTCTCTTTCGTTAGACTCCTCCTGGCTTTCAATCGAAGTCCTTCTTTCGTTTCAATGTTTCTCTCAGAGTATGGGGGATCAGGCCCGCTAAGGTTTGCCAAGCCTCAAAGCTGCAAAGCCTCTTTGGCGCTTCACGCCTCAAAGCTTCAAAGCCTCAAAGCTGCAAAGCCTCTTTGGCGCCTCACGCCTCAAAGCCTCAAAGCTCCAAAGCCTCTCTGGCGCCTCAAAGCCTCAAAGCCTCAAAGCTGCAAAGCCTCTTTGGCGCCTCACGCTTCAAAGCCTCAAAGCCTGAACGCTTGGATGCTTTGGCGCTTTGGCGCTTTGGCG